GACATACAGACGACAGACGAAGCGCCGTATAGTAATGTATTCTAGACACATTTCGAGCGTTGCCAACGAATTGCACCTGCAATGGTGAAGAAGGGAGCGGATTTTTGAGCGGCCGAGAATCATCCTCGATAGATCCTCGACGCAAATATCTCCTCAACTAGAAATGTAGAAGGAAGCTAAACATACTGTTAGAAAGCGCAAACCTTCCGCTTTCCAAAACTGTCTTTCCTTTTTCAAGGATCTTGCGAAATTAGAGAGATATTGCCTTTAAGTGGCAAAAACTCGCATGAAAATTCAGCATCCTCGACGTTCCCTCGACGATTTTGAGAGACTATATCTCTTCGAATGGAAGGCTTTCATAGCAATTCCAATACTGCCTGATAGTAGCAAATCTAGCTCTATCTAACCCTACCGCGTGCTGTTCAAAAGGTTGGGAAATGGAGGAATGGAACCTTTTCATCGAGGGTGTAGATTTCGACGGTTTTTTTTTCACGCAAATCTGACCCAGGGACAAATCGCGCCACAGCCCTTGAGGATTTATGTGCATTTCTGAACGAACCTGCTTTGAGGTCACACAAAGTTAATGCCTCTTTCCTCGAGTCGATATTTCAGTAAATACACAAAAGTGTGCAGCGATGAAAGACAGTGCATAGATGACAAGATGAAGGCGTTTACAACATTATTTTGCAGGATTTTTTGTTAATTAATTGCGTATGCTCTGTTTTAGGGGGTCGTGCCGGAGCTCGATTTCAAGAGGGGGTCGTACTTCTGCGACCACGTCCTCGACACGATTTTCACCCTGGTGGGCAGTCGTTTCAATCGTTGACACCATTCCCTTCGGTCTTATCTCGCATAATCATATAGTCACCCTTTTTAGATCGATACTTATGTTTTCCCCGTAAACATAATCGCCAAGTCGCATAAGTCGCCAGCTATAAACAGGGGGCCTTACAAGGGAAGTTCGAGGGTGTGGAGCTCTTTTCTCTTATAGATTTTCTGCATTTAATAAGAACTCATGCATAGACTAAAAAACCGGGGTCCTCTTTTGCTGAACGGTCCATGGAGGCCAAAAAGTGCTGGACAAGTTGTCCAAAATTCCATTCCCCGGGGAGCTAAACGTTCAACATTTTCGATTCAAACTTCCAATAGTAGTGCCAATAGTAAATGTCAGGTCATGTAACCCTTACAGCGAGACTTTCATCGAAATCCGGTGCCTTTGTGGGGCGGCTCTGCTAAGATGAACCTCACTTTTGTGGCCTAAGTGCGAGCCCTTTGCACATACAAAAAACCGTTTTGAGAAAGCGCTTCAAGCCAGGGTCAACAGTCGCGTTCGCACTTTTTCAAAGTTTTGCGACCCCTTCCCCTTAGGGCCTTAGAGGGTCTCGATGCGACCCACCACCACCACCATCATCAGACTTGAAGACTCCCTCAGTATGACCCAGGTCAACCGTTACGTTGGACCGACATTGGACCGACGTTGGACCGACGTTGACCGCTCTCCGCGCCGGCATTCGCACTCGCCTTGCGCGAGCCGTCTGTGTCTCCGTGCGTACGTTCACTCTCGGCATTACTCTCACACGCTAGAGAGCCATGCGTTGGACTTTGTCCAACGGACGGTTGACCCTGGTATGACCTCCCTCCTAGCGGTAAGCGGCAAATCCTCCATTTTTTGTCCAAAAAAAACCCATTTAAAGAGCAACCCCATCTGAAGAGCTCCGTTCAAACTTCTACAAAGATAATGAAGCTCGCTCCTCACTCAACCCCAAAACGCTACTCCCTTTCCTGACGTCACAAATGCGACCCCTTCGTTCGAATAGTGCGAACGGACGGTTGACTCTGCTTCACACCCTGGCAGATTGAGCAAAGGTTGCACTGCGAATGTGGCCGCACTTGATTAGTTCCAGGATTCCCTGCTCATATGGTGCATACAATATTTTAGCCCTTCTTTGAATTATGTGAGAAGTGGCAGTGAGCCAACCACGCATTGCATGTCCAGTTCTCGAAGATCTTGGGCAGACATTTACCTACACACACGAAATTTGTTATACAGCTGTTATTTGCTGGTAAAAACTTAAAAACCCTTTCTTTGCGCCGAAATGAGGGGGAGGGAGACGGCGTTCCGCTCGAGTTGGCCGAATTGCTTGCTCCATGATTCCACTAACTCGCGCGTATTTGAATTAACCGCTACTCATAATCCACATTGCCGCTATTCGTGAGATGCTTGCGAGCAGGGTCAACCCTGCGTTGCGCAAATTCCAAAATTTTTACGACCCCCTTCCTTTTCGGGGGTATCGGTACGACCCCCCATATTAACTATCATGTCTTTCACATAATTTAATGCTCATCAATGATGGCAGTCACCAACATGGAGAAGTGGTGGACCGTGGTCAATCCGCGCGCTTTGTCTCGCTCAGAGGAGGGAATCGAGGCAAATGAAGTTTTATTAATAGAATTTCAAATTTTTGCGTAACCAATACATCATTTTAATCGTAAAGATTTCTACTTTCAGAAACCCACCAGGATTTTTTCGATCTCTCAACTTTCCTTACCTTATAATCTGAAAAACTAAACCTTGTAGCAATTACATTGCAATCCAAACCCCTCCATTCAGAAGGTTATATTTTCTTTCAGAAGCTGTTTCATGAAATCGGACACCAAAATTAAAAAAAAAATAGTTTTCTTCCTGAGGAGTATTTGAAATGTTGTGGATGTTCAATATTTCGAAAAATCGTCCCGTTGTTCCGTTTTCTGTGCACACGCGAGTTTTTGACATTCAAACATTCATAACTTTCTTCATAACTCAACTTTTTGCAATGTCTAAGGCTAATTAGAAACTAGAGGATTAGAGCTTTCGAATAAGTGCTAAAACTTCTTGAAATAATCACTCGCTCAAAAAATAGTCCCGTTGTTCCGTTTATTCCACCTTGATTTTTTTCAAGCCATTTTCCTGGACCGCGACTATGCAGTCTTCAAAGGCCCATAACTTCCTTTAAAATTAATGTGATGAGAAGCGGTAAAGATTGTTGGAATCCACTCGAAGAGTACTTCATAACAACTGTGAAATTTTCCTGAAATTCTTTCTTCTGCCTCAATTTTCCTACGGCGTCTCTAGAACTCAATTCAGCAAATTCGCTACACTTTGTTTCGCTTAGATTTTATTTGAAAGCATCGAAACTCTCTTCAGAAAGTTTGTCTGCTTACGGCCGCTGACAGAGGAGGCGTTTTTATGGGAAAACGCCTCGGGTATACGCCGTGCACCTATCTGTGGGCAGAGTTCGCACTCGCATTTTGAAGTCTTCTGTTTTCCTGAAGAAGGTGTTAGTATCCTGATTGAGTTGCATTGTGCTGTTATATGGCACTCTTGTTTCACTTTCCCATGAACTGCTCTACACTTTGTTCTCCTCGGGATTTCAGGAATGTTTCATCATCGAAGACAGACCATGTTTTTGCACTACGCTGTAACAAAGTTTTTGGCTATTGTCTATTGTACTCTTGATCTATGCTGTCGGAGCAAAAGCGCCGTCCGGATAGCGTCGATTAAGGATAATAAGCTGATGGTGAGACTTATAGTGCTCTGCATGCTTTAATGCTCCCATGGAGCTCATGTCTGTGTGACTCTCCGACAGCGTGCAGAGCTCCTGGAGAACATTAGAGGCTGAAAGTGCACTCCCGGACACTGCACTTTTCAAGCCGTCTTGCAGCCCGTCTGTGGATACGACCCCCTCGTTGTTCTTTGCTCAACGCAGGGTTGACCCTGCTTGCGAGATGTCTCGTGCTGACATAAGCCGTCAGTAGCCCACTTCGAAAGGCCTTAGCTCCATCGTTGTGCACTTTCGAGCCGCGACAATGGCACAACTGTGATACTCGCGGGCAGTCAAGAAAGAAAAGCACTTGTAAACGACATAAATAAAGCGGTTTGTTCCGCTACTTCCTCGGACAAACTTTATTGTTTTTTGTCTGTCCTACCTACAGAATAGGTTTTTCGACAAGACGTCATCTCGGGCTTTTTCTTTGACCCTTAGACCACGACTTTTTTGAAATGATGTTGTCGATGTGTTTGGTGTAGGGCTTAACATTCCTAGAAACGACCAATCATCCATAGAAGCTCGGCTGATGTACCCCGGATTTGACGTGGGATTTGATCCACGGACCATGCGTGCGGTAATACCTCTAGCCCCACACTATCTCAGCTTAGATTAATCAGATTTTAAATATAAAGTGGCAGATACTAACCATCTACAAATGCACATTTATCACGTTTCATTCGTGGAACAAAGCCAATGTCCGGTAGTGACCGCACTTGGGTTGAATTTCGAGCCGCACTCTAAAGAGGCGCTTCGTGTCCCACCGGCTCCTTCTGCTCCACCAATATTCGTCGTCTTCTACCGCTTCGAAATCCGTGTCGTCGTGGAAGTCTCCTAATTCCACTTCTGCACTGTTTGACTTGTTAGGAAGCTGGGGGTTGAAATCTCCAACACTGTAGTGGAACGCCGCGCCATTATCTGTCTGTTTCTCGGCTGACGAAATGCTCCCATCCAGGGTCGACCCTTCCCTTGGTACCTTTCGGAAATTTTTTACGATCCCCCTTCCGATCAGAAATTTCCCGCCCCTACCCCCTCCCCCCTTCACCACCCTCGCCATCACGGTGGCTGTTTCCATAGTACTTAATTCTGGGATCAGTCGACATACCTAACTCCACCCACTTTTCCCTCGAAGTTGACGTATATGTCG